GAAGACCCGGACACAACAGCTTAACCCCGCTTGTTATACACAAGAGAGCCGGGACCTAAGTCAGTCCTTGCTTACGAAAGGGATGATCAACCAAGCTGTGCCCTGGTTGCTACGCAGAGATCCCGATTGGAGATATGAAGACAGGATTAAGGATGGAGGTCAATGATAGCTATGGGTCTACCTGGCACAGTTGGTAGCACTCTTGCCTCTTGAGTCAGAAGGTTGTGGGTTCAATGCCCCATATCAGGACTTTGAACTCACATAATTCACTTGTAGGACATTGTTGTACGCAAACTGGCTACCGCGTTTCACCCACAAAACACACAGTCAATCAATTTTACAGTATATCCTGTAAAGCACTTTGAAATGTTTTAGAGACATGATAAAGCGCCATATCAAATGGAAGGATTATGATATTATTATTGATTATTATTATTATTATTTATTATATAAATGACAGGAAAAGGGTTATGTGTCAACAATGATGTTCTTGTGTGATACTGACCTCCTCATTCTGATATGCAGTCACTGCGATGAACTGAGTTTCAGGGAAAAAGTGATTGGAAATCATCCTGTGAGGACCTCCCAGTCGCACTATATAAATCTGAGGCTCGTACTTGTGCAGAGAATTTAGAATTACCTGTGTGAAAAAAAGGAAGACAAAGTGTAAGTTAACAATCCTGACTTTACTTACAGGATTTTTACCCACGTAGAATACTTTTAATTGTTGTATCCTTCTGGACACTGCTTAATGCTGTGAACGAGTGACAAGTGGAAAAATACCTGGATTTACACTTACTCTAATGACAAATACATGTACAATTCACACAAAATCATGTGAAGCTCTTTCAGAGGTCCTGATGATATTAAGTGGTGCTGTGTGTATATTAAAATATATACTGTCAATTCACGTTGCAGTATATTCTGTGAAGCTCTTTGAGATGTCTCAATAACATGATCATAATGATGATAATGATAATAATCCTTGCATTTGATATAGCACCTTATCACATTGTTGCGACATCTCAAAGTACTTCACAGAATAAGGTGCTCTATCAAGTGCAAGGATTATTATTATTATATTAAACACAAGGATTAATATAATTTATTGCTAAATTAAAGTAGGATTTTGTTGGTTTGTTGCTTAAAAGAGCCTAAAGAAAATCAGCATCAAAGCTGAGTCTGAATTCAATAATTTGAATTTGGTGCATTCGGAATACTCTGAAACACTGTGTTAATAGAGTAAATGTAGACCCAAATGAGATGTTATACTTTCTATTCCTTAGCACAGACATCCCACAAACAATATAAGAGAACAGAAAAATAGGAAGCTATGAAGGATTTGACAACTCTATACATTTGTATAACACAAAACAATACAAATTTACATTTGTACAGCACTTTTTTACATCAGGAGGGAGGATGTTCCAAAGCATTATTTATATATATATTATATATATGTGTGTATAACTGCTATGCGGAATTTGCTGCTGTGTTGCACCCACAAAATACACAGTCAATTCACGTTACAGTATATTCTGTGAAGCGCTTCGAGGCATCTCAGTGATGTGATAAGACTCTATAACAAATGTAAGGATTATTATTATATATATATATATATATATATGTGTATTAATTGCTATCAACATATCTATTACTGTAGCTTTCGACTACCAGGATGCAAGAACGTGGTCGAGATGGACCTTGGTCTTTTTTTTGGTCCAGCAGTCCCTATGTTCCTGTGCATAAAGGCAACTTATCGAAATGAAAGAAGGGAAATGAAAGGGAAATGCAGTGCACGATTTTGTTTCAAATCTGAAAATTGTTGTATTCCATTAATTCGGGATAAGTGCCCTTTGCCAGCTGCTAATTATTTTTACAGCAGTTAAGACCTCCAACTTTGTATTAGAATTAAGTGGGGCAGAGTCATCCCATAATAAATGTATTCCAGACTTTCAAGTTGGTTGTTGTTGTGTGTGTGTGTGTGTGTGGTGGTGGGGGTGGTGGTGGGGGGGAGAGGTGTCTAAAAGGGATAAGCCGTTAATTTCATGTGATGATTGATAATTGCAAAACAACTCTAATTATCTAATTGCATGTAAAGCACTCACTTTTGTTTAAGGCAATTTCAGGAGGCAACTGACAGCTCTGTGCCAAGGAAAACATCAATGACTAAAACTCATTACAAAGCGGGGTTTTTTTTTAAAAAAAAACATAACCCTGGAGTCGTACACACAGCGAGATCTCTCAGCCCACAAAACAAAACAAAAAAAACCTTTTTTTTTTGGGTAGTGGGGGGGGGGGGTGGTTGTTTGCTGAGTACAACGCGATGTCCATTAAACTCTGAAAGTCTCAATTAGACCTGTGTGTGGGTTTTTTTTTTTTAATTCTTGTTTGCGTTTGGTTTCCCATCCAACAATAGGGGCGACATGAGCAGAGTGGGGCTGAGAGAGGGATAACTATAATACATTAATTAATGCGCCCTTTTTTTTTGGTGTGTTCGTAATTGCACTTGGCTTGTCGTTGCAAACCAGAGGGAGTTTGCAGCAGCAGCAGCAGCGACTTGCCTTACCTGTCCACCGCAGTTGACTTTATTGGTCAACTTGACTTTGCTGAAAGAGATGGGGGCTTTCATCCAATACGCCCCGAAGTTGGGGGAGTCCGGGTGGATGTAAACGCAGCTCTGGGTCAGGGGCTCTGGTTTGCCCGCAGGTACCCACTCGCCGTTCACATACTTCCAGCGATGGCTATCAGCGACCACGAAGTCCAACAGGAATGAGTACATGGCGTTTGGATCCAAACCAGAGACGCTATTTTAAGGACTGGAAACATTCGCCTGAAAGAGGGAGAGGGGGAGAGAGAGAAGGGGGGAGAGAGAGAGAGAGGGGGAGAGGGAGGGAGAGAGAGAGAGAGAGAGAGAGAGAGAGGAGAGAGAAAGAAAGAAGAAAGAAAGAAAGAAAGAAAGAAGAAAGAAAGAAAGAAGAAAGAAAGAAAGAAAGAAAGAAAGAAAAGAAAGAAAGAAAGAAAGAAGAAAGAAAGAAAGAAAGAAGAAAGAAAGAAAGAAAGAAAGAAAGAAAGAAAGAAAGAAAGAAAGAAAGAAAGAAAGAAAGAAAGAAAGAAAGAAAGAAAGAAAGAAAGAAAGAAAGAAAGAAAGAAAGAAAGAAAGAAAGAAAAAGAAAGAAAGAAAGAAAGAAAGAAAGAGAGAGAGAGAGAGAAAGAGAGAGATAGAAAGAGAGAGAGAGAGAGAGAGAGATGGAAAGAGAGACAGAGAGAAAGCAGATACAGATAGAGATAGAGAGAGAAAGAGAGAGAGAGAAGAGAGATAGAAAGAGAGACAGAGAGAAAGCAGATAACAGAGAGAGAAAGAGAGAGAGAGAGAGAGAGAAAGAGAGAGAGAAGGTTAAAAAACAAACCTTTCTTTGGGGAAACACATAACGATCATTTCACTGAAAAACACGAAAAAAAAGCACCTGTGTTTTTTTTCCCCTCTCAATAGAAGAGAGCGACTCTGACTCTGGCTCTGACTCTCGGGGTTTTTCCTGTGTAATTCCAACCTTCGGAGCAACGCCGTTTAGGGCAGGAAAGGGGGAGTGGGGGAGAGTTCCGTGGGAACCGTTCAGCAATGGGATCAGAAGTCCCCATCCAGTGCAAACGAGGGCAGAAAAAGAGCGACCAGGTTTGAGACAGAAATGTTTTGGGGGCATTTAATTCCGCAAAGCGACCTGTGTTTCTGCTCAGATATTCCCACAACCAGGCTACGAATTATTATTATTATTATTATTAATTATTATTTTATTATAGCATGAATTATCATCCAGGATTATTGCTATTATATTATTACATAATATTACATAATAGCAATAATCCTCGATGATAATTCATACTATAATAAAATAATAATAATAATAATAAAATTATATTATTATAGTATCTAATATAGTATTATATTATTACGAATACAGCCAGCGACTGGGGCTGCACCTCTCCCATCCTGTTAGCGTCAGAGTGGATTATTTGGTCAATTTGAAATAAATATCTCTCGCATAAACGAAGCATTTCTCTGTGCCAAAAGGAGAGGCCGATGAAAGGGACAAGAGATTCAATCACCCCCAGGAGGGGAGAAGGTTGGAGGAGAAACCAACACACTGTAGCCTCCGCGTTATTATAATTATAATCATTATTATAACTATTATCGTTATCATTGTTACTATCACTCATCACTGCACCCACGTCATTATTAAGCAGTCATAAATATTATTATTCACCGCTATTAGTCGCCGTCGTTCACCATCATCATAACAAAGAAGATTAGCAGAAAAACATAAGAGGAGGTTAACCAAAAAAAAATTTTTTTCACGCAAAAGGGTTGTTCAGGAAGCCCAAATGCTTTTTTTTTTGACTACGAGTTGACGCCCAGACGGTCACATCCTTTGAAAGGGAATCAAATAAAGACTTGGATGAATGAAGACATGAATTTGGGAGGAGAGTGCAAAGGGAGGGTTGGAATTAGAGAAGACAGCTCCAGTGGGCAGCTACTGTATGCTAATAATAATAATAATAATAATAACAATAATAATAATAATAATCCTTGCATTTGATATAGCGCTGTTCACGTCGGGCGGACGTCCCAAAGCGCTTCACAGAACGCACTGTAAAGTGAATTGACTGTATATTTGTGGGCGAAACGCAGCGGCCAATTGCGCACAGCAATGTCCCACAGACAGTCGTGGATTGAAAATGACCAATTTATTATTGTTTTGGGGGTTTCGGAGGGATCAGTACGATCGCTTCGGAGCCCAATTTTGGGGATGGCGTCAGATCAGCCCCTGATCTGGAACACAGCGCTATCCCTTTCCTGCTATCCTGGAAATGGGATGCAAGTCCTCTTCCCTCTCTCTTTTGGCTCTCACATGGCGTTGGGCGACTTCTTCCAAGTTCCTCCTTGCAAACTCCACAGCGGAAAATCGACAGTGTCAGAGGGGCAACAGCAACAACAGCAACAACAACAACAACAACAACAAATATCACACAGGGAAATCACACCGAGGTGAGCTCTCTCTCTCTCTCTCTCTCTCTCTCTGAGGGTTCCCTAAGGGCAGTGTATTGGGGAAAAGCCTACAGGGAAGCTCGTCTGCTCATCCCCTGGTTCGCTCTGCTCGGTTTGGGGGGGAAACGCTGGGCTCAAAGTGCAGAAGAATATTTTTTAATATTCTCGAGCACCGACACATTTGCCCACCACCCCCCCCCCCCCAAAAAAACGATGACTTTTAATAGAGACCCTCCACCACCACCCAAAGCATTTATTTCTCTTACTCCTGCAAAACCCAAGCCATAAAACTTGGAACAAGGTATTATTTGTGGAGTCCTGTAGCTCAGTGGTTAGAGCACTCGCTTTGCAAGTGAGAGACCTGAGTTCAATTCCAGGCAGAGGGCGAAACCTTGGGCAAGTTTCCTTAATCCACACAGAGCCTAATAATAAACCCTCCAAAAACCAAAAACAATAATAAATTGGTCATTTTCAATCTACGACTGTTTGTGGGACATTGCTGTGCGCAATTGGCTGCCGCGTTCGCCCACAAATATACAGTCAATTCACTTTACAGTGTGTTCTGTGAAGCGCTTTGGGACGTCCTCCCGACGTGAAAAGCGCTATATCAAATGCAAGGATTATTATTATTATTATATCATATTATTTTGGGGGCAAAACGCTGCGATTTTCAACAGGACCGTTTTATCGCGAGTCTCCCAGTTGCGGTTCTGTTCGTTGTCCCAAAGGCGTAAAAAATGTTAGCTTTTTTTTAAAAAAAAGAAATTTAGCGAATATTAAGAGGCTTTACGCCGATTGACATTACATTACATATTATATTATATTATATTTCAGGTTGTTGAGAATAAACAATTGATTTTTATTGATTTTTTTTTGCTTGAGGTCATTGCTTCGATCTGTATCACTCTTAAAATTGAACACGGAATCCGTCGGTTTTAAACGGATTTTGCAGTCGGTGTCGCTCCAATGAATTTAAGTCACAACACACTTGAACGTTGCGCCCGTTGATCGACAGTAATGTATGTGGTGGTTCAGAGGTACGTTGGTTTGCAGAGGAAGGGTTCGGCATAACCCCCTATTGCACACTCACTGAACCTCAATATAAAAAAAAAACAACCTTGAGATCACCGCACAGGTGACAACGCGACGTCCTTCTGGTAAAATAGATCGTGTTGCAAAGCGGCCCCTTTTCGTCTTGTTTTCGTACTGCGCGTAATAAACGCGCTGCAGATTCATCCCCCACCGTGAAATATCGTTGCGATTTTCCAGATGGGATAACGCGTGCAGGATTTTTCCTTTGCTGAGCTGCAATTCGGTGTGTGTTTGCGTGTGTGTGATTGCATGTGTGTGTGTGATTGCGTGTGTGTGTGTGTGTGTGATTGCATGTGTGTGTGTATGTGTGTGTGTGTGTGATTGCGTGTGTGTGTGTATGTGTGTGTGTGATTGCATGTGTGTGTGTGTATGTGTGTGTGTGTGTGATTGTGTGTGTGTGTGTGTGTGTGTTTGCTGTCAAATTGAATTAACACAATTCCAGTTTGCATCCCCCAGCACGTCAGGGATTTACAAACCTGCACCAAAATACCTGGACCAATGTCTCCAGAACTGGGATCTGTAAGTAATGCTATCGTTATTATTGTTATTGTTATTATTGTTATTATTATTATTATTATTATCCTGGCGTTCTCATAACGCTAATCTCATCAATCCCGACTGATCAAGGGGCGTTTATATGGGAAAACTGTACAAGGAGGAAGAGGGCACTGGGGAGCAAGAGAGGAGACTGAGAATGGGAAACTAACTGTACGCCTGTCATCGGAAAGTGTGAATATTGCACTGTGATTTTTTTTAAAAAAAAACACGTGTGAGACCTCCACGATCAAAATACAATGACTATAACTGGTAAAAGGTCCCACCGTTGAAGTTTTCTCACACACACACACACACACACACACACACACACACACATAGAAACAAGACACAACCAAACAGGATTGCACAAAGCAAAGTTTGCTGAAAAGATTAGGAACTGGGGAAGGGAGAGAGAGATAGAGAGAGAGAGAGAGAGAGAGAGAGAGGTGGGGTTGGGGGGGTTGTGGGGTGGGGGGGGGGGGGGGATGGAGAGGGAGAGATGCAATTGCAACGATATGACCTAAAATTAGCGAATGTGACCAGCGTTTGGCTGTGAACTCGGTGCCTTACGTGAAACGTACTTGAATGCTCAAAGCATTTCTCAGCGAAGACCTTATTTTAGTTTTTTTTTACAAAAAACACACACTCTCCCCCCCACACCCCCCCCGACCCCTTGCTCGATTCCCACCGAAAACACCCGACTGAGCGAAAATGAAAAATAAAGTACTGAAATCCTCCCCGATGGTCGCTTGCACCCCCCAAACCCCCCCACTGCTTTGCAAAAGATGGAAAACAAAACGCCTCACTCGTTGATTTACTTATCTATTATTATTATTATTATTATTATTATTATTGATTGATTGATTGATTTTTTTTTCTTGGCTCGAGGTCTTACTTTGTTGGACCCGCATCTCTGCATTGAAACTGACACACACATCCCCAAAGCCTTCACAAAGAAGTTGCACTCTCCAGTGAATCACCTTCACGGCAACATCTCTCGACCAGAGGAGTGGGTGACATTCACACAAGTCATCGTCCAGGACCGACGGACCTATTCTTTTGCACATTATTTATCTGTGATTCACAGAATCCCCATCAATGACTAAGTGATCCATTGACTTGATCTTCTTTGGCGTTATATTTCCCAGCTTTTCCGAAGCAGTGGGTGGGGTGGGTGGGGGGATGGGGGGGTGGTGTGGGGTGGTGTGGGGATGGGGGGGGGGGGTTGGGATGCAAAAAAGCAATCACTAGGAACATCGCAGACAGCTCTTGAAAGAAGTTGCATTGGTTCTCATCTCAGTCTCTCTCTCTCTCTTACCCCCACAACCCAACCCCAAACCCCCAACCACTTCGGGCTACAAAAACGGACCCCCCCCCACCCCCACCCCCACCTCCCTTCCCTCCCCCCTCCTCCTCCCCTTCTCCACTGACCTCCCGTTCTTGGTGACGATCATTTCGTTGGTGACCCGCTTGAATTTTTGCCACAGCTCCGACTCCTCCAGAGCCACTTTCAGCTGCTTTTCCGTGGGGTCGCCTTTCTCGCTGCCGACCACCAGCTCACTCTCCACGGCGCTCAACAGGCGAGCCACCCGGTGCTCGCTGCTCCTGCTGTGAGGCTGGGTCATGACTTGAGACACTTTGCCACCTCCTCTCTCTCTCTCTCTCTCTCTCTCTTCTCTCTCTTCTCTCTCCCACCCCCTCCCAACCAAAAGCACCCCCTCCCCACTCCCCTCCACTCCCAGCTAAAACACTGTCCCCTTTCCCTCCCCCTTCCCCTACCTCCCACCACCCCCACCCCCCCCCCAAAAAAAAACAACTGAAACACTTTGCCACCTCTTCTCCTGCACCACCACCACTCACCCCTCCAAATTCCACCCTCCCCCCCCTACCCCCACCCTCCCTCCAGCTGAAGCACTTTCCCCTTCCCTCCCCTCCAAAAAAACAGCTGAAATACTTTCCCTTTCTCTCCTACCCCCCCCCCCAAAAAAAAAACAGCTGAAATACTTTCCCCCTCCCCTCCCCCCGAAAAAAAACCAACTGAAACTTTCTCCTTGCCTCCCTCTCCAAAAAAAAGCAGCTGAAACACTCCCCCCCCTCCCCTCCCCTCAAACACACACACACACACACACACACACACAATCACCTACAGTAAAACAACCCAATCAACCTGTATGTGCATACATGTGTATGTGTGCATATATGTATGTGTGTGTATGTGTGCATATATGTATGTATGTATGTATGTATGTGTGTGTGTGTGTGTGTGTGCATATATGTATGTATGTATGTATGTATGTGTGTGTGTGTTGTATGTATGTGTGTTGCAAAGCTTAAAGCCAAGCCTTGAACGAACGAAAATTCAAACGAGAAGCAAAGTCGGGCAAAGCACACCCTCGCAGTCAGTCCCTTGCTTGTTCATTGACTGTGAATATTCCAAATAATGAGTGGACCCCAGCCATTGCAGGACTAAAAATAAACTTGACTCTAATTGCTTTTTCGCCATGTGATCCTGTGTGATGACGTTCAGCCGAATCGCCATTGGTTTTCTTCTCTGCCAGCTATTGGATGGAGCGCAATTTTTTTCCATTCAACTATTTTTTAATGCACAGTGTAGAGGGCGAGCCAGGGCTTTGCTAAAATGTAGTATACAACAACGACAACAACAACAAACAAACCAAAAATTACATTTGCGTGGCGTCTTTCACGTCGAGAGGACGTCCCAAACGCACCGGACAGTCGGTGTTTCCGACCCGAGCTGGGGTTTGATATTGGGGAGGGTGGAGGCCGGGGGGAGGATGGGGGGGAAACAGAGTGATCGAAAGCACGGTGGAAGAGGAGGGTTTTGAGATGGGTCTTGAAGGAGGCAAGGGAGGGGGCGAGACGTTGGGACGGCGGGATGGAGTTCCAGAGGGTGGGGGTAGGGTGGCAGAAGGCCCGGCCACCAATGGCGGGGTGGGTGTGGCGGGGGACGTGAAGCAGGCTGGAGTCCGCTGAGTGGAGGGAGCTGGCAGGATGATAGGGGGGAATAAAACCATGGAGGGCTTTGAAGGTGAGGACCAGGATCTTGAACTGTATCTTCTGTGTGATGGGAAGCCAGTGGAGTCGGGCGAAGATGGGGGTGATAGGGTCGCGGAGCCTGGTGTGGGAGAGGATACAGGCTGCAGAGTTCTGGATGATCTGTAGCCTGTGGAGGGAGGAGTTGGGGAGGCCGACAAGCAAGGAGCTTGCATAGTCAAGACTCAATGTAATGAAAGCGTATATGAGGGTTTCGGCGGCCTGTGGTGTGAAACAATGGCGGAGCTGGGTGATGTTGCGGAGGTGGGGAAGGCAGAGTGGGTCATGGCACAGATGTGGGGGGAAAGGATAGCTGAGGGTCAAACAAGCTCCAAGGTTCTGCACTGGCTTAGCAAGGTGGAGTGTGCAACCATGGATGGTGATGGTGTCAGTGCCTGAGGTGTGGAGGCGCTAACAGGAGCCAAGCAGGAGAGCCTCGGCCGGTGATGTTCAACTGAAGAAAGTTAGCTCTCATCCAGGACTTGATATATTCTGTTAGGACAGCAATGGTCCTGGAGTCAAGGGTGGAGGTAGAGAGGTACAGTTGGAAGTTGACCCCATGTCTGCGGATAATGTCACCAAGAGGGAGCGTGTAGATGTTGAAGAGGAGGGGACCAAGGACAGACCCCTGAGGAATGCCGCACAAGACGGTGCGGGGGTTAGAGGAGAAGCCATTTGTGGAAATGAAGCGGACGCAGTGTGAGAGGTACATTTTGAATCAGTCAAGGACAGAGCCATGAAGGTTGAGGTGAGAGGAGAGGCAGTGGATGAGGATAGAGTGGTCAACTGTGTCAAAGGCAGCAGAGAGGTCAAGGAGGACGAGGAGGCAGAGGGAGCCCTGGTCGCAGCTGGACAGAAACCCGATTGGAGGAGTTTGTGAAGGGAATGGCGGGAGAGGAGGGAGTGAAGCTGGGAAGCAACAACTTGTTCCGGGACCTTGGAGAGGAAAGGGAGGTTGGAGATGGGACAGTAGTTTGAAAGCAATGATGGGTCCAGGGAGGGTTTTTTGAGGATAGGATTGATGACAGCCGTTTTTAATGGTTTAATGGTATACTTTTTAATGGCATAGTTATTATAATGTACTGAACTCTCCTTTTGTCAGCTGTTTCTCCCCGAGAAGTGAGGTGCAACTTTTCTCGTGATCTGTCAGGTCTTGTGGTGAAACCAGATGAATTTGAAAGGTGAAATTATTCACAAAGATAATGACTTTGCTTTCATAAGGAAACCAGCGTGAGTTGAACTGAGCTGGCTGAAATATATCTGATTACTTTAAATTGTTCCGCAACTTTGGTTAAAAGAACCTACAATGTCTTTCCGTTTCATCCACTTTTAGAGGATTTCAGCTATGGTACTGTATATATATTTAGATATTCACAGTCGTGTAGGTACTCGAATACATGACACCTTACAATAAAAAATTGTTATAGTGCCTTTCATGTCATGAAGATGTCTCCAAGTGCTTCACAGGAATCACTGCAAAGTAGTGACTGTGTATTTTGCAGGCAATTTCAGCAGCCGATTTGCCTACAGTAATGTCCCACAAACTGCCAAGAAGTGGATGAGCAATTTTATTTGGGGGATTGTTGGGTCAGAACACAGGAAGAAACCCCCTTCTCATTTCGAGTAGTACCAAGGGATCTTTAATATCCGCCTGAATATGCATGTCAGTTTAATGTCTCATACAAAGGACAGTACCTCGAACAATATAGGGCACCCCAGCGCTACGTTGAAATGTCACCAGGGATTCTATGGGCTCAAAGTCAAGGTGTTGGTCTTATACCTACAAACTTCTGACTCAGAGAACACAGCACTACCAACTTGTTCACTTACACACACACACACATACATATATATATACATATATATATATATAAAAAATTGTTTTTCAGCTAACCAAATTAGAGAAGGCAAATGAGTAGCTTCACATTGATACGATTACATCACTGAATACTCATTTTGGTTCGTGTGTAGCAAAGCTTTATTAATTCTGTAATTTTCTAGATCCATAGCAAGTTAAAGAAACTTCAGGGTAAAGGACTTCGGAAACAATCAGAAACTATTTAATTGCAAAAAACTACTGAAGCAGCTTCAGCCATTTTAACCATTGGAGGAAACAATTTGCTCCAATGTTGTCAACCCCCTTCCTTATCTCCAGCCCAACAAATTTACAGTGTCCGGTCGATTCACATTAGGCAAACAGCTTGCAAAGTACCCAAAATATTCACTAATCTGGAATTATTCACGGGACAGACATTTGCATCAAATTATGAGTTCCCAAATTTGTCGATCAAACAATTTTGTGACAAAATTGTCAGTCGTTCATCGGGAGAAGGAAAAATGTGAAAAATGAACTTCTGTTTAGCCCACAAAACATACAATCAATTCACTTTACAGTATATTTTGTGAAGCGCTTTGAGACATCTAGAAGACATGATAAAGCGCTATATCAAATGCAAGGATTATTTATTATTAAGATGACTATACTGAGAGTTTATAACTACAAATATATGTAACATAATATAACCTTGTTAACCATGATTAGTTTCATTTTTGAAGAGTGCAAAGAGTGCTGGCAAGAGGCATTGTTTTAAATTAAGAAGTCATATTTATCTATCAAATTATTTTAACCTGATATTGGCATTTGAAGGTGCATGTGTACCTTCAAATAAGCTTTTAATTTTCTGCCACATGGCCAATAAAAGTGCACCTGGCCTTTTCTTTTTAAAAGTTAATTTCCTCATGGGTCATTTTATCTTCCTCTCTCATCCTGTATACAATAGCGATATCTCGTATTAATAGTTCTGTATTAAAGGGAGGGAGGATGAGAAATGACACAATGCCCCAAGGAAGTTAGATTGTGTGGAGGAAAAGCTTATGTAAAGAAACTCTAGAAAATAGTCATGTAACTTGAAGAGATTTAAAAAAAACACACAAGTTCAAATATTGCCCCAGAATAAATCAGGGATTTGCTCGAGTGGTAGCACTTTGTTCATCTACTTAACAAAGACCAAACCAAAGGCCACATCTTGGGGTTCTGGAAAATCCCATCTCAAACACTAATGAAATATTCCCAAACTATTTTTTCTGTTCACTTTTCAGATCACCGTGCAAAACTTATATCTAACTCACCGAATAGAGTAAACAAAGTATTTACATTGGAGATGCATTTTTAGGTTTTCAGCCAGACCTTGGACAAAGGGTGGTGATTCATTCACACTCCCATATTGAACCGAGTTATGTTTACACTTACATGTATTTGGGATAATTTCTGAAAAACATTTAATATTTTCTTGATTGAATGATGGGGTATGCTGCCCTTTTCAATTAAATCCAATCAGAGCAAGGTCCTATACAAATAATAATAATAATAATCCTTGCATTTGATATAGCGCTTTTCACGTCGGGAGGATGTCCCAAAGCGCTTCACAGAACATACTGCAAAGTGAATTGACTGTATATTTATGGGCGAACGCGGCAGCCAATTGCGCACAGCAATGTCCCACAAACAGTCGTAGATTGAAAATGACCAATTTATTATTGTTTTTGGTTTTTGAAGGGATTATTATTAGGCTCTGTG